GTGAATCTTTGCACGTTTTGAATGAATATCTTCCTTACAACTTTAAGCCCATATAAAAGCATCAAATACCCACAGCATAAAAAAAAAATGGATAATATATGGTACATACATATGTATCAACATACGAATGCATGCATGTATTACAATTTTCCAAATAACTATATCAGACTCAATAAATAATTGTTAGATAAAAAGAACTAGATTTATTACCCGAGATAGGCTTGGGTTAAGTACTTGAGAGAGTTACTCAGCTTGCTTGTTTTCATTAACGGAGGGTATTTCGCAGTATCCCTACATACACAGATTAAATGATATTCAAAACACCGTTAAAGAAACTCACATAAAATGTGGGTTATATTGAAAGAGAAGTAACACCAATTAAAGAATCTTGTTATGTATCCTCTTTATATTTTCTATATAAATGTTACCTTATCATGGAAGAAGGATATTCAAGTTGAAGGCGGTCAAGATCGTGATCGAGGCCATGTCCCACTAGAATCCTCGCTTTTCCACCTCTTGGACGAATCTTCCACATGGGTTCTCCATTACAAAGAAACTCATGAATCTTTCTTTGAGCCTGTTTCAACGGCATTGCATCCCTTAGATTCTCCGGACGTATCCCCGTCGTCTCGTACCTATAGCTCGTTACGGCCATAGACGGTTTCACATACGTGTGGAACACAACGTTGTCGCTCTCATCAGTTATGCAAACCCTCGCGCATAGATCCAACGACCCATCGCTTCCTCCTCCTACCATTTTGCAAGAGAGTGCAACAACTTTTGGAGACCGCGATGACATGTAGTCAATCAAGGCTTTATCTCTTAGGCCTAAGGCCGCCATACGAGTCGTCAGACCCTGGAGAGCAGGAAACCATATGATATATATAAGTACATGTATTTTTGCTGGATTCATATGTTAAAGTTTTAATCACTTAAAAAAAAAAAGTTTTAATCACTTAAATATGAGAAGAGAAGATTACCGAGTTGACGCTCGAGAATTGACATCTTTCTTGATGGATCCTACGAGCATTCGAGCTTTCGAGGATCGTCAAGCAGAATCTGCATCCGCGAAGGCTGAAAATGTTCTTGCATTCTTGTTTTGGCAATGGCCCTATATTGATTTAACACAATTAAAATTAAAAATAAATATGCAAAGTATGTATATCTATTATCTATAGATATGAAAAGTGTATAGAGGTAAATTACCTATGAGATGTTCCCGAAGGGACTCAAAAGATCGGCAATGTTTCTTGCAAACGCCACAAGTAGGCTCATGACCCGAATGGTAAGAGATCTTCATGTGCTCCACTAAATGTTCCATTTTGTTGAATTGTCTATAACAAGCTGCACACTTGTTCCTGTACGTGTATATATATACATTAGATTTCTATTAGTTTTTATCAACTGATTATAAAATTTGTATGATATTATTACATGCCACTACATGAGTCTTTTCTTGAGAGTTTTTTTTTTTTTTAAATGAAAGGCTTGATATAATAGCTGTAGGTCATAAAACTGTTACCTTAAGGTTTCTGAAGACTCCATTGATGATCTGTAATCCATGGTACGTATCCGAAATTGCAAAAGTACTAGAGAGTTGAGAGAGTTTAAGTAACTGTGTTTGATAAGTGTGTGAAAAATAGGGAAGGTGTGAGAAGGTATTTATAGATGAATATACAGAATAAAGAGAAGAAAAGCAAAGCTGACCAGTCTCATCTATGACCGTTTGTAAAGATTATTACAAAAAGAGACACATGTTGAAGTATTTGCCATAATGCGGTGGGGTCGCTTCTCATGGTAAAATGAATCACAATTTTAGTTTATTTTGTTTTGAACGATAACGAAGATGTCAATATCGTACGTGCACGTGTGTGTATGTGACGTCGATCGAACAATGTGTCAATGTTTATAATCAAGACTAGCGACCACCATAACCTTGAATGATAATAGTTTTTAAATGGAGTTTCGGTAAATAATTCCATCAAAACCTAACACCTAACTGGTAAGTAGCTTGGTTTATTTGGTTCAAATCATCTATGAACAAGTTTTTCTGTGGTAAGTATAGACATAAGTTTTGATGTACAAGTACGAAAAAGTGACAATTTAATCCATAAACAAAAATTTATAAGGAGAGTAGAATGAATAAAAGATCCAAAAAATAAACAGTTACTATGTTCAAGGCACTACTCTTACATGATAAAAGACGGTCTGATTAAAAGTTTACAATTACAAAAAAAAAACTGAAGTAGTATTTATTACTTATTAGACAATACTTTTAATTTATGCCTATAATAGATTATGCCAGAACGGTCGGACTATTGAAAAGACACTAAGATCCCGTCAAAAACACTTTCGGTATAACAAGAATGTTTTCGTGTTCCATGAGATTTCAATTGTCTAGTCAATGTATCTCTCTTCTTAGATCAATTTAACATTTTATTTATATTTCCAGTGACTAATTAGATACTAATGTATATCTCATCAATAAAATATTAGTATTTGAAATATAATTTATATTTTTATGCATAATAAATTTTGATATATAAATTATTTTATTTTATGAATT